GTTTCCAAGGTCCCGTAAAGGGTGGTTGTGAAAGCAGCCAATGGTGGCTAGGGTATCGTGATGGCTAGGATATTGATTTATCTGTGCTTGAGGATCACATGGTTAAGCCTAAGCTATGAACCTTGTGACAGCCTAAAATTCCTAAATGATTGAAACATCCGTACCTTGACAACCGTGGCTGCTGCTGCATCGAGGAAAAGTTAATGTATGGCAAGGTTCAGGGTTGAGGCTTTTGGTTTTGTTGGGGTTTGGGTTTGGTTTTGGAGTTCGGGGTCTCCGCCCAAGCCTCATGCCCTGCAAACGTTCCCGCGCAACCCCTAGATCTGAAAATCAATCCAAAAAACAGATTTAAAGTTTAGGGTTTGGGGAATTTGGGGTTAAGCAGTTAAGCATGTGTGACTTGTCTGTTGTCATAATCATTACATTGGTAATGCTGATCGTGCAGATTCCTTCCTGATTCCTCCTCTGTTCAGACTATGAGTACGGGGCGGGTCGGGGGGGCTTTAGGCCTAAACTAAACCCCTAAGACCGCATCTCTCGGGCAGCGGCAATGAGCTCGTCGGGTACACAGGTCGGCCGAGAGGTACGTCCAGCCTCGGCAGATGCAGAGATTCGGGGCTTTGAGAGTTTCGGGCCTATGCCTAATTAGGGGCCTAGAGCCTGGGGCTCGGGCCCCGGGACCAGGGCAACAGGGTATATAGTATATTAGTATATTATAACGGGATCGGTTAAGGCTTAAGGTTTAGGGGTTCCGAGTTTCAGTGAAAGGGTTTCCGGTTTCAGTATTCAAAGGAAAGTTTGCAACCCCCAACATCACTGAACCCGAAACCCCTAAACCTCGAAGGCCAAAACACAGCACTTCACAGCCCCACCTCATCCTTTCTAATTCTAAACTCTGGACTCTAGACTCTAGACTCTCGAGACTTACTAGACTAGACTCTCTAACCCTTCGAAAACTAGAGACAACCAAAAACCGAAAGCCTAAGCTTGGCTTACACCCTCCACCCGCCCAAAACGCGCCCCAAGCTCACGACCTGGACCTGAACCTTAATCTGAAGCAAAAACAACAAGCGAGCAAAACAAAAAAGGAAAAACCCGGTCAACACTGCTGCGGATCTTAACCCTAAACTGAACCATTTCTATAAACCCTCAAACCAAACCCATTGCCACTAGGGCTCTAACCACGGCCCATGACCCCTGCTACTGCTAAGGGCTGCACAGCCTGTGACTCTCTTAGGGCCGGGATTACAGCCCAGTCCCCTTGACATGCTACACAGCCCATCACCACCCAAAAGCCTAAGCCCTAATTTGACCACCCACAACCCCCTAGGGCCTAGCGGGCCTTTCCTGGACCCTTTAACTCTAACTCTACGGGCTCTACGACCCACGGCCCATTAAGGTCTCTACGGACCATGTCCCTTTAACTTTAACGTTAACTCTAAGAACTCTAAGGGCCTAAGGCTAAGGCCTAAGGCCTAAGGGCTCTACGACCCACGACCCTTTATTTTAAGGTCTCTACGGACCATGACCCTTTAACTCTACGGGCTCTACGACCCACGACCCTTTATTTTAAGGTCTCTACGGACCATGACCCTTGACCCTTTATTTTAAGGTCTCTACGGACCATGACTCTTTAACTTTAACGTTAACTCTAAGGGCTCTACGACCCACGACCCTTTATTTTAAGGTCTCTACGGACCATGACCCTTTGAGGGCTCTACGGCCCATGACCCTTTAACTTTAATGTTAACTCTAAGGGCTCTACGACCCACGGCCCTTTAGTCCTTTAGTTTAAAGTCTCTACGGACCATGACCCTTTCAGGGCTCTACACTCTACGACTCTACGGCCCATGACCCTTTAACTCTGCGGGCACTACGACCCACGACCCTTTAGCGCAAACCCCTTAACCTTTCCTAAACCTAACTAAACCTTAACGCTGGCTGAATCTGGGGCGCCCGGCCCATGACTCGAAGAAGGTCGCATCCATCAGCGCGGGGTTTGGGTTTAGGACTTAGGAGACTTAGGGCTTAGACCTGGACCTAGGACCTAGGACCTAGAACCTAGGACCTAGGACTAGGACCTAGACCTAGGACCTAAATACAGGATCTAAAGAATCTAAATCTAAAGTTTCTAAAGCCTAATGTTAGGCGCTGGCCTAAGTTTAGGGGTTCGGTTTCAGCACCATGTTGAAACTGCTGTTTGGAAACTACAATATGGAAACCCATGCTGTAAAACACGAATGATGTGCAAACTCATGTTTTCAAAACCACGAATGATGTGCAAACCCATGCTTTCAAAACAACGAATGATGTCCAAACTCATGGTTTTGAAAGCACGAACAATGTAGAATAATGTGGAAACTCATGCTTTGGAGGCCACGAATAATGTGGAAACTCATGCTTTGGAGGCCACGAAAACTGGAGAAACTCATGCTTTGGAGGCCACGAACACTGTGGAAACTCATGCTTTGGAGGCCACGAAAACTGTGGAAACTCATGCTTTGGAGGCCACGAACACTGTGGAAACTCATGCTTTGGAGGCCACGAATAATGTGGGAAACTCATGCTTTGGAGGCCACGAAAACTGTGGAAACTCATGCTTTGGAGGCCACGAACACTGTGGAAATTCATGCTTTGGAGGCCACGAAAACTGTGGAAACTCATGCTTTGGAGGCCACGAATAATGTGGGAAACTCATGCTTTGGAGGCCACGAAAACTGTGGAAACTCATGCTTTGGAGGCCACGAACACTGTGGAAATTCATGCTTTGGAGGCCACGAATAATGTGGAAACTCATGCTTTGGAGGCCACGAATAGTGTGGAAACTCATGCTTTGGAGGCCACGAATAGTGTGGAAACTCATGCTTTGGTGGCCGCCAATGGTGCAGCGTTTCCAAAGTTTAGAATGGACCTACAAACGTGCTCCGGGCCCTCTCCAAACCTAAGAAGCAAACCCCCATCACTATAAAGGATGCCCCCTAGACCTGCTGGCACATCCGCCTCATAGGAAGCGTCCGTGAACAAGTGGTAGGTGGGACGATCACAGGCCCTGATCATCCTTGCTTCCCCGTGCAAAACTCGATCTTTCAAGAAAAGCAGGGCTTCGGTCAAGGAGTCGTCAAGAGCCACAAAACCTGAAAGCTTCATTGCCTTTGATATAGCTCGCATGCGTTGGGCCGCACCCCGACCAAACACCTGCGACTCGGCAAACTGAAGACGGCCCCGCAGGCACTCAAGCTCTTTGGCATGTGCTCCACCTTGCTGCACGATGGATTCGATGGTGGACACAAGCTCGCGCTTCCTAGCCTCTGTGTTTTGCACTCTAAGCAGACCTAAGTGGATCTCGTCCAAGCTAAATTCTACGCCTAAGGCTTTTGCCACACTTTTGAACCCGGCGTCCTTTTCATCGGACGTTTCCCAGCCGATCAATGCAAAGTACGACCGTAACACAAGATCAAGGTGACCCTTTTCCTCGGGCGAGGCCACTACCACATAATCGTCAAAGAAGACGGACCAGTGGATGTGGAGCAGGGCTTGTCCAACTGCCCAGATCGCCCCTGATGCACGACAAAAGCCTTGTACAGAGGGCTTTGCGCCGAAAGGTAAGACCTGGCTCTGGTAGAGCTCAGGCTCACCCGTATTCGGGTTAAGCACACATATATAAGCATCCCCCAAGGCACGTTCCGACAAAGGAAGTTGCTTATAGGCTTTTCGTAGATCTATTGTACGAAGGAGCAAGCGTGCGTCCCTCCCGGACTTCCGTAGCGACCTGCACCGCTTCAAGATCCCGGCAACAATGATGTTCACTGAATGCGGGTCGATGGTTTCCGCACACGTGCACGACAAGTTAGCCAGGCTTTTTCCTTCTCTCGCAGCGCTCAGTCTTGAGTAGAACGCCTAGCGTAGGCCCAGCATGCGCATGGTAGTTGTTATGCGCAAGGCATCTTTCAGATGCGAAGGGCACCCCGTGCCGTAGCACAAGAGCGAGTGCACCATACACGTCCGGCCCGAAAGCTCAGCAACGCGTATGCTACAGTAGAACAAAAGCACTAAGTCAAGGATCCCTAAAGGCAAACGACATGGCAACAAAGTACACTGTACAACTAACGGTTTCTACCGGCGTTCAGTGGACTAAGCACTCAGAAACATGGAATGAAATGAACGAAAAGCCATATCGCATCATGCAGTGCCCCCAATGGCACTCTCCTCGACTCTGCAAAGAAAGACTGCATCACAATCACGAGCATAAAGGGTTGTATCACTCAGTTTGACAGGCTTGGCACTCTTACCATTGGTATGTGCATGCCATCCAGTCTTCTTTGAGCTCGCCCAGTAACGAGCACCGAAAGGATCACCAGGTGCACCGTGCATAACCACAGACATGAGCTGATACGGTATGTTGTAAGTTGCAACACTCTCCGCATGGAAACATGGGACATGAACTGTTGTAGGTGTTTTGCCCTGGGTGATCAATCGCCACTCACCCGATGTACTGCAGAGCCACCTTGGGGAAACAACACAAAGGATATCAGGAGCCTGGACAAGTGCACAACGAGCCCCATGTGTACGCCATTCTGAGAAAAGTGCACTCATGTCCAGATGGCATCTGTTTCCAAGGATTTCCGCCTGCAAGCAAATCGGTTGCCATGTGTCGCCAGCTTGGTTGCAAACGAACGAGCCATCAGGAGCAGCTGTTCTGGCCTCCCATCGTCCTTGCATTGATTGAGCCGCAGCCTTTGGCAGGATGTGTTGCAGCCAGCCTGTGATGGTGGGTGTTGTCGAGTCCCAGCCTTGGAGCCATGACCGCCACGGCAATGAAGAGGATAACCTGAACGATGTGCCCATAGCAAGGAATGACTTAACGGCAGGAGCGAGGCGACCTGTTAGGAAGTCCACATCATGTTGGTCAGCACCTGCCATAAGCCAAGCAAGCATGCACACCACCATGTAACCATGTCGATCATGCAAACTGAAAGCTGTAGTGAGGATCCCGGCCACCTTTAGCGCCGAAGAGCTGCCGCCATCTTTGCGATGTGCTGGGCGAGTGGTTGCAAGTTCATGCGCTCGCCGCGGATCCGAACCCCCACCAAACGAAGAGCTGCGCTGCCCGTCAAGCTGCGAAGCAGGTCGTGGGCTTGTTGTGCTCGGGTGCCCCTCATTGCCACCGACAAAATGAAGGGGAGTGTATCCCCTGTCACCGTTTCGGTGAGCTTCCTTGTCGAGTGGAAGCGGTGAATGAGCTCCTCCTTCCCTGTCATCACCAGCTGCTGCAGGTCGTGCGCAATCTGCACCATCTGAGTGTGTCCGATTGGTGGGCGGGTGGCATCCAGTTCCAATCGACGGCTCTCCGCATTCCACTGCTGAAATGTCCAATGAAGCTCCTTCTCGCCCTGCACTTTGACCCACCCCTGGGCCTCCATCTTTTTGATTGTAGCCTCGTCCTTGGTCATCATGTCGAGGCGGGTGACCCATTCCGCAAGCACTTTTGATTAAGGCGACCCGAAGTGAACTGGTAACCGTCGGCGGGGTTTTGTCCCGTCCCGCCTTCCAAGCCTGCGCCACCTGCCACAGCGGAGCCAGGAGACCGTGTGTCCCTGACTCTAGATGCAACAGGAATTGCTTTTCGGTGCGGATAAGTTGCAGCTCCTCCTCCTGTTTCAAGGTCAGCCTGCACAAGGCTTCCACCAGCTGCTCCATGTTCGGCCGCGGATGCCTGTGTGGAGCACCCCAGTTGTTGGCATCCCAGCCGTTGGCATCCCAGCCGTGGTTGTAGTCCCAGCTGCCCCAGCTGTTGTGTCCCCGGCCTCGGCCGTCGTTGTCGCGGCGTCCGCCCTTGCCTTTGCCCCCCTTCGGAGGCTGCTTGTCCTTGTTCATCTCGGGCTCCTGTCGTGACCTCTTGCCTCGGCACGGGTCCTGAAGGTTCACCGCGCTGATCTTCGCCAGAGCCGGCAGGCAGCCGGCGAACACATCCTGAATCTCGGTGTCCATCATGCCTGGCCATACAAAGTTTGAGGGCATGTTGCTGAAGAGGAACACAGGTATGTGCGTGATCGGCCTTCTTGATGCCTTTGGCCCCACACAGGGAGCAGGGAATGGTGATCGAGCCCGTCCACTCTGCACACAAGAGCTGCACACGAGGCTGCATGTTGCGCCAAAGCTCGCCGTGATGTCTCTGCATGTGTGTTTTGAAGCGCTGCTTGGTAATATCGGCAAGACAAACCTGACAAGTGCCACGCAAAGGTTTTATATCCTCCGCGGAAGGGTAAGGGGTACCGGCCAGGTCGGTCACATCGGCGGCCTCGGGGGGACCTCCATTCACGAACCAAGTCATGGCCAGCTGAAATAAAGCCGGGCATGTGGCACGATGATCCCTGCCTGCTTGGTCCTTATGTCCACACCATCGGCATGTGCCCTTAATGCAGAATGATCCGCCCTGGGGACGGGACTAGCCCGCGCGAAGCGCGCGAAGACGCGCGAAGCGCGCGCGCGAAGCGCGGGCGCGCGAAGCCGCGCGAAGCCGCGCGAAGCCGGCGCGAGGCGCGCGAAGCGCGCGCGAAGCGCGGGCGCGCGAAGCACGCGCGAAGCCACGCGAAGCGCGGGCGCGCGAAGCCGCGCGAAGCCGGCGCGAGGCGCGCGAAGCGCGCGAAGACGCGCGAAGCGCGCGCGAAGTGCGGGCGCTCGAAGCACGCGCGGAGCCGCGCGAAGCGCGCGAAGCCGTGCGAAGCCGCGCGAAGCGGCGCGAAGCCGGGCGCGCGCAACATAGCTCGGCGGGGTGAGCGACAAGGAACATCATCAAGATCAAATCCCCACGCAAGTTGTAGTAGCAGTAGTTGTAGTAGTAGCAGCAGTAGCAGTAGTGGTAAGTAGCACGACATCAAGGGAGCTGGTGCTCGCCTCTTCGAGCATATCAGTCATAGGGTCAATCGAGTCAGTTTCACACCAAGTGCGTGCACCGCGGCAATCGCCCGCAATGTGCTGAGCCCGGTCGCACAGCGTTCAATTGAAAATAGTAGTAGTAGTAGTAGTAGTAGTAGTAGTAGTAGTAGTAGTAGTAGTAGTAGTAGTAGTAGTAGTATAGTAGTAGTAGTAGTAGTAGTAGTAGTAGTAGTAGTAGTAGTAGTATAATAGTAGTAGTAGTAGTAGTAGTAGTAGTAGTAGTAGTAGTAGTAGTAGTAGTAGTAGTAGTAGTAGTAGTAGTAGTAGTAGTAGTAGTAGTAGTAGTAGTAGTAGTAGTAGTAGTAGTAGTAGTAGTAGTAGTAGTAGTAGTAGTAGTAGTAGTAGTAGTAGTAGTAGTAGTAGTAGTAGTAGTAGTAGGGCCTGTAATCACTCACCTGGCATGTCTACATACCACAGACATGCGTCGGGCCGGGACGCAGCGCATGTCACCTTGCCGCCGGAGCTGCGCCGTCGAGTCAACGCTATCGCCGAACTCGTGCCTGCCGTTTTATCACAGCAGGGCAGCTACGTAGTCAACGGGCTCATGTTCATGTTGACCATACTAGCAGATCAATGTATAACACAGATGAGGAAATGCTGTGCCATCTGTGCCACAAGCAGGACCTCGCACGACACGAATCAGCATACACGCAGAGACAAAGCTCCAAGCTACAGCCAGCCAAAGCGCAAGCATTCTCTCAGTTGTAGGTCTGCCAGCCTTCGTCATGGTGAAGCGAGCCGCGAAATGCATGCTGTGCAGCAAAACGCGCGCTCTGCGCGAAGTCAAGAAGGAAAGCCTGCTGGAGGCTGCGAAGGCAGCTGCGAAGAAGCCACTTCCGAGGCGGTGGGGGTCGACCTCGTTTGCATCGGGTCTGCACGTTAATTACCTGTTAGCTTACGTTGGAGTCAGGACAACAGCTTCTTGCTGACAAGTTTGACTTTGCATTTTTGCTCTCTTGACAGGACTGTCAAGTTGTGCGAAACTTGTGCGACGAAGCTCTCCCACGCCCTCACGGCCAAGCGCAAGGCCATGGGTGACGGCGATGTTTGATCTTGCCTCCGTGTTCTACTGTGAAAGGCCGCGGCGAGGGAGGTCTCTGCAGAGGCCGCCTATCAGGACTCTTTGCAGGGTTTAGGGGTCTTGGTTCGTGGGTTCCTGTTGGAGGAGGTGTCATGTCCTTGGCATAATTCTGTCGTTTCTCAGGATCATCCTGGAAGACAGTGACGGGGATGTTTGATCTTGGCTCCTTGTTCAGAGGGTTTTGGGGTTTTGGTTCATGGGTTCCTGCTGGAGGAGGTGTCATGTGGAGTCGGGGTTGGCTTACTGTGAAGGCAGAAGCGTCAACATGAAACGATGACGGTCTAATCGCACTCGAAAACACATCAGCAGCAGCGCTTGTAACCTTACCACATTTACCATTTGCTTCGTCCATCCCGGGTTGGGCAGCCATACAGCGGTGACTTCTCATGTTGCAATCACGCAGATCTGCCCAACTCACTGCAGTTGATTCTACTGCTAAGAGCACCCCATCCAAGCGCAGCACATGGCTTACGTCGTGCATGAAGCGCTCCGGCTCTTCTTTTCCGCGCTCCAGCTCAGAGGAACTTGCCCAGCGTCGGGTCTTCGTGGAAGACAGTAACGGCGATGTTTGATCTTGCCCCCCTGTTCTACTGCGAAAGGTCGCGGCGATGGAGGTCTCGACAGAGGCCGCCCATCAGGACTCTTTGCAGGGTTTAGGGTCTTGGTTCATGGGTTCCTGCTGGAGGAGGTGTCATGTCCTTGGCATAATTACGTCATTTCTCCGGATCATCGTGGAAGACAGTGACGGGGATGTTTGATCTTGGCTCCTTGTTCAGAGGGTTTTGGGGTCTTGGTTCATGGGTTCTGGTGGAGGAGGTGTCATGTGGAGTCGGGGTTGGCTTATTGTGAAGTGAAGGTAGAAGCGTCAACATGAAACGATGACGGTCTAATCGCAGTCGAAAACACATCAGCAGCAGCGATTGTAACCTTACCACATTTACCATTTGCTTCGTCCATCTCGGGTTGGGCAGACATGCAGCTGCGAGTTCTCATGTTGCAATCACGCAGACCTGCCCAACTAACTGCAGCTGATTCTACTGCTAAGAAAGGGCAGCGCATGGCCTACGTGGTGCATGAAGCGCTCTTGCTCTTCTTTTCCATGCTTCAGCTCAGAGGAACTTGCCCGGCGTCGGGAGGAGGTGCTCGCCAGCTTGGGCAGCTGGTGCCAAGCACTCAAGGCTGGGTTAAGGTAACGATAATTATCATTACTTATAACCCCAATTAAGGTACTTTTATTTTCACTTGTGTAAAGTTACCGCGTGAACCTGAACAATGCATGGATGCCATACGGAGAACTATAATTCAATCGGCTGGCATCAATCGAATCATAAGGAGAAATATTTATCATGAAAACAGAATTTCTCCAATCTGTATGTTAAACATAATTGCGTATCTCAAGAGTTCGCAACGCACTCACTCGACAGCACAAGACTTTTCCTCGTAGGTGGCATGGGGAATCCGTCGATTATCTCAGCTAGGGAAAAACTCTTGGACATCCCAAGTGAATGCGGTACATCCCGCTTCCCCCCGGGTGGGTGGGTGGGAGCAAACAAAAATTGCGCTCTACCTCAGAGCACAACGGCAACTGGAATTTCGCATCTTCGCATGACTCAACAGTTGCAGACTGACATTAAAGAGACATTTGAATACTCCAAGCGTTGATTTTGAAATAAGATTTCAAAATCAAACTTTCCACGTGAAAATAATACCGTACGCAGGCAAGCTGCGATGGTGGCTTATTTTCACTTGTGTAAAGTTACCGCGTGAACCTGAACAATGCATGGATGCCATACGGAGAACTATAATTCAATCGGGTGGCATCAATCGAATCATAAGGAGAAATATTTATCATGAAAACAGAATTTCTCCAATCTGTATGTTAAACATAATTGCGTATCTCAAGAGTTCGCAACGCACTCACTCGACAGCACAAGACTTTTCCTCGTAGGTGGCATGGGGAATCCGTCGATTATCTCAGCTAGGGAAAAACTCTTGGACATCCCAAGTGAATGCGGTACATCCCGCTTCCCCCTGAGAACATGTACCCCATTCACCCAAAGACTTCAGGAAGCGCGCGACTCAAGAGATTCAGGTCAAGATCGACACGTGGTGCACCTCGGATACTCACGCCACGCGAGGGGTCGTCTGCAGGATTGGAAGAGGATGGCACACGATCTAGCCAGCAGATCGTTTCAAGGCTCTCTTCGCAGCAAGCAAAGAAGTCGATCAAGGCAGCACAAGAAGCATTGTCACTATGGCCTCTGACGAAGCTTCCGAACACGCCCTCATTGTCAGTGAAAATGACAACACCTTTCCTCTCGACGTACGGGCGAAAGGCCTCGAGGCAAATGCTGAGCACAAGCGCCTCAAGCTCGAAGATCACTGTCTCCCTTTCGCGGTCACCAGCTTTCAAAAGCTTCTGCACATGTACTGGCGCAACAGCTTGACCAAACCAGCACAACGCCTCACCAGAAGAACTGAAGACTACTCCCCCCAAACCACAATGGCCGTTTGGCTCGAAGGAAGCATCCACATACACATGGACAAAGTCTTCACGCCGCGCCCTGACTGGACGTGGCTTGGAACTTTCAAGGAAACTTTTCAGCTGAGTGAGTGCGAGCCGCGTGAGTTGGCTGACGTCCCATCTGCGTTGCCTGGAGTGCTGCGACAACAACTTCAGAGCCGCCTTTGGTCGCCGACCAAAAATTTGGCAACAGGCGAACTGCAACCGGCCCCTTAGCTTTTCACTTTCTTTAGGTTCAAGCTTACCAGTTGCTAAAGCCCGCTCAATGTCACACAACGCCTCAGTCCGCCTCTTCACGGTGTTCTCCAAGTAAGCCAAACCGAGCTTGGCATCACGAAGGTTCACTTGCACTCCCAGGACGACGCAAAGTGCATCGTAGCTGAGCTCCTTGTCCTTCGAGATCTCCCATCCCAGCAGTTGGAATAACATGGAGATTACAAAGTCGTTATGCCGAGCAAAAGCTTTGCCGCAAAGATTCAGATAATCATCAAAATATTCACTCCAGACAAGAGTCAACCCTACGGCACCTAATTTCCAAATGGCGTAAGCCGTTCTTATGAAGCTGGTCACGCTGGCTGTTGAGCCGAAGGGAAGCACCCTCTGGCGATAGATTTCGCTCGCCCCACGCTCAATGTTGAAGAGCACAAAGAAACTATCTAAGGCGTAAGCTAAATCCGAAAGGGGAAGTTGTTTATAGGCGGTACGCAGGTCCCACGCCTTGCACACTGGCGTGCTGTGCTCTGGGCGCCCGCTGATGAACCACTCATTTAACCAACAGGCCAGCATCCCGGCCACCACGTCAATGGTGTGCACGCTGACTTGTTCAACCTGCGTGACTGCAGCATTGACTTGGGAAGACAGGTAATTATCTATGGGCCTCACCTTTGGACCGTCTTCATTGCTCCCTTGAATGACTCCGAAACGATGCGTTAAGGACGCATCTTCAGGGATCTGGTCTGGAGACAAAAGTCCATCAACGAAGCCGCGCTCAAGTTCCTTCATCGTCGCTTTAAGAACACCTTGGTCAATCACAGGATCCTCCGAAGCTTTGATCGTGGCCAGGGGACCATCACGCAGCCTCTTAGCGCTGGATCGAAGTTGAGATTCACTCTGCTCCGCAGGACGAAAGCGCTTAGCGAAAACATTTGATCTAGGCAGCTTGCCTGTCAAGTCAAACCCATGGGCAATGTCTTTGACAAGGTCAACGTCCTCATGTCCCACTTCAAGCAACAGCTCCTCGAAAAGAGCGAGGCGTTTAGGACTAAGAACATCCTTTCGAAACTGAGGAAGGTCAGCCTTTAGCGCGCGCTCGGCCGGCTCTAAGTCGGCTGCTCTGCTAACCCACCGGCGAAGTGTTGCGGTGCGCTCCTTGGCCACATTGGCCTCACCTTCTTTATGGATTCTCCGGACTGCACAGGAGATCTCGGAAGGCATGAGAGCGGAGAGCTGCGTGGGGTGCCCAACCTTAATTGCCTGTTCAACAAACTGTGATGGTGTACGGTACACACCAATGACAGCCTTAGTCACGTCCCCAGGCGAGACTTGGGACCCCGAGGTCGCTCGATCAAGCACAAATCCCAGGCTCGTCAAGAAAGAGGCGTGCTCAGCTTTAAGTTTCTTAGGGCCCCTCGGCATGTACGCAACAATAACGTCACGCCGGCCTGTCCAAGGCCTTGTGCAATGAAGGCGACGGCCATCGAACCTGAAGCCTTCATGGGTGACGGGGATGCAAACACCTCTCACTGCGCGACCTTTGATTTCAAGCTCGACGTCACCCGCAGGATCTTCCATCCACACAGAGCCATCAGAAAAATCTGATAGCGCAGCAATTGCATTGTCTGTGGAGACTTCATTATTCGAGTCCCGGTGTGGCTGAGCAGACACATCCCTGAACATCCCAACAGTTCCGAACTCCAAACCTGGAAAAAGGCCTTTGACATAAGAGCACATTGCCTTGACAGTTTCCGGGAACTGTTTGGTCGTTGATCGCACCCCGCACATCGGGCCGTGAACAAAGCTGCCACCTTGGAACGATTTCGCTCCAGCATCGCCCTCCCAACGAAGAGGTTCTGAAGGAAGCAAGTCAAGCAACAAGGACAAGTCTTTGCGGTGTACCTTAGGCAACTTGTTTACAAGCGAAGCAACCCGCTCGGCAGAACCCGACATCATGGCTTCTCGAACCTCGGTATCGTCAGGATTCAGACCGAGAGAAGCCTCAGGACATCCAAGAACATTAGCAAAAGGACGCTTTCTGCTAGGAGGCTTCAGCAGACTGTTCTTCTCAAAATCCTCGGCACCTAACACACGAGGGGCTGCAGGGACTAAACCGGAATTAGGGGAAACAGCCGTGGGACTAGGGCCAACCTCAATCCCCCTGCGCACCACATGGGCACGAAGGACACGGCTACCTGCCGGAAAGCACTCGATTGCCGGAGAACAAGCAGCATCATCTCCGGGCTTCCACGGAGACGGGAGCTTTTGGCCAGGGCGCAAGAAAGACGCGGCAAGATTGGAAGGCACAGTGACAGTGTGAACCGAAGCGAATTCGCTAAGCAGCGGAGGCACGCGCTTGCGAGTCTGGGCTCCAGTGAAGGCACGCGCGCCTTGGATGGCGGGTGCGCCTTCATCAATAGCTTTGGGAGATTGGCGACAGCCAAGTTCCAAAAAGTGATCTTTCAGCAAGCTCGCCATGCACTTGCAGAGGCCCCAGGGGTAGGCCGTCTCAGCGCTTGTTGCCCACGTACGGCCGACTTTGCCCCAGCCCAGATGCACATGTTTGCCAGAGCACAAACGATGAAGCTCGCGGAATTTGGGGATGTTATGCACCAGGAGCGTCTCTTTGCGACGCATGCCACCAAACTCACAGTGATGAAAAACAGTTTGAAAGACGTCCGAGCGCTTCAAGAACTGCTGCCACTGAGGAAGCAGCCAAAGGTAGCTGCGGCTCGGATTTTCACAGGAAAAATATTTGCCGTTCAGAAGACAGAAAGAACTTAGCTCAAGAGTCAACTTATACAGCATGTTAGCCTTTTGCACTCTGAGTGCAGGGATCTCCGAAAGATCAGGAACCCCTTCGGGGTGGCTCTCATTGCGGAGGACAGGCGGGGCGCCGGGAAACTGGATGTCACGGGCCCTGCTTGCGGTACCGCAGGGCGGCGCAAAATGAATGAATTTGACAGCGGGATCCTTCAAGATGCTCCACAGATGTGCAATAGAGTCCGCACAAGTAAGATCAAGCTGAAGGACTGAACAACATGCAGTTTTGCCGACCACATGGTCAACACCGAAGGCATCAAAACCTTCACTACGAAGGGAAGCACTGAGCCGCCCAGTTCCGCAAAAGACCTCCACGGTCACGAGCTTGCTCAAAGGCTGCCCTTCAAGTCGTTGAAGAGTAGCCTCAGCTGCAACAGTTCTGTCTGACGCGGCGAGGCTCTGACAGGGAGGACCGGATGACTGTCAGGAGTGGTCCTGCAAGCTATGCGGTTTCAAGCATCCCGGCTCTGCACACAAGTGAAGGCCCTTAGCGCACTTTCCGCCAGGCTTGGCGTCCTTGCAACCGCACGGCAGGTTGAAACCCCAGCACAGACGGTGGCCTTTAGGAGTTTGATGCGCTTTGCCAACAAGCTCTTTTGGGACCGAGAAAGCATACCTCTTTGGGGCCTTCTTAGGGTTCGGAAGGCGAGGATTCGGACGCTTGGTAGGTGGATCGGGCCTGTCATCCAACTTTGCAGTTGAGGTTGAACCTGCTGGCAGGGGAAACAAGTGGTAAGCGACTGAAGGGTCGAGCAGGATGTTGGGAAGCTGCTCGTCCAAAGGAAGCTTGCCCACGCCGCTGCGGCGCAAAGTGGGCAGCAACTCTGCCAGCCGGAGGAATGCCGCTCGATCAGCGCGGAGAACCTGAGCAATAGAGACCTTGGCATTGTTGGGAGGGGGAGCCTCCTGGAGACGTTGAACAAGTGCCTGATGATAGCGGTTAGCCACATCAAAACTCATGAGCCCAACAAGGTCGAATGCAAGCGCTCTGCGGCGCATGGCCAAAACCAAGTCTAAGTCAGAGTTGATGGCAGAGTTAAGGATCTGGGGCTTATCTTTAACCGCAACGCCGCTCCCATCTATGACGAGCTCTTTAGAAGGCTTCTTGGCACTGATTTCTGCACGCCGTGTGTTGAACTTCTCAGGCGCCAACCAAATGAGCTCGTTCTTCTTGGCCATCGAGAAGACAAGGTCGTATGCACCATGAGCGACCTCCTCTTCACCTTGAAAGGTCAACCCGCCCAAACGTGTTTTCTGGCTTGCCAAACGATCTTCTCGCTCGGCTATGTCAAGAGTGAGAGGCAAGGACTCCTCAGTGCGCTCCACCTTTTGTTTGAGGGCTGACACAATCAATGTATGGGCTTCGAAAAGAAGCCGCTTGAGCCCTGCTATAGTCCGACTCACCCAGAAAGTGAGTCTTCCGAGCAAGGGGAGTTCAAGGCAGAGGGCCCTCAGTTTCGGCCAACCCCATGGCCGGTGGAAGTGGGGGACAAACCCCTGATCCTCTACACGCCGCATGTGAAGAGGTCCCACAAACACTGTCCACTGGCTTTCTCAGGTTGGGGACACGCTCCAGCTCAGGGGTTTCGACGACAGTTATGCCCTCCTTGGAATAGGGGGCAGCCGGGCAACCTTCGAATGCCCGGGAAATCCCGCCTTATGCTGGGAACTGACTTCCAGCGAGCATGACCCAAACCGCCGGTCTGGCCATGGGCCAGAGAGTCGCCTAGGGCAAGTGATCCCCGGGATATGCTCAGGCAAGACCCGGGAGGTGGGCCCTGGAATCCTCCAAGTTGGTACATGGGGCACGGTGCCTGTGACCATCTTGGAGGTGGAACGGCTAAGCCCAATGTACCAGGAACCATCGAGTGCAAGGATTTTGCACATGGCGATGGTTATCCTGGGGGTCAGCTGTGCGGGCATGCTGTGCCGCGATTTAAATCGTGGCAACTGGGGCATCCGAAAGATGTCACCAGATTCCTGCGTGGAGGAGATCGTCGTCATCGACGCTGCAGATTGGGAGCCGCAATCTGCACCACCAGGCTTTCCTCCGAGGAGGAAGCTTGAAAGTTGGTGGAACTGGATCCACCGCAGTGATCCCTCAACAGCAGAATGGTTGAGGGTGCAAGTGGAATCCCTGCACCGAGACCACCGGGCATTGGCTCGCACTTTGGTGGAGGAACTTAGCCGGAGCGATGCTGTCCCAACGGAGATTGGGAGGAACGGGGGCTAGGAGTAGGCCTAGCGGAGGACGCCTTGAACAAGGCCGCCCTCCTCCTTTTGCTGTCAGAGTACAGCCCAGACCGAACTTGCCGCTCCGGCGGCCGCGACTCAGAGCGCAAGACCGAGAAAAGCCACGTTTTTACCGCAGCCATTTTGGCTCAAGTTTTCGGTTCAAACTGGCGAGTGGACGCTTTGTTGCCGACGTGGCACAGCCTTGAGTCCTACTTTCATGGCCATTGCCTCGTGCAGGAGGTGGGCGTCCTCCGCTCGTAAACCATCAGACAGGAACAACACCCACGCCCTGCGGATCTGCCCCTCAAAAACGACACAGTTGACCCCACGTTGTGCAGCCAAGACCAAGGCGAACGTGACAACGACGGGTCGATGTCCGCCGAGGAGGTCCAGCCGGGGGGCTTTGCCGGCGTAAGCCGTTGAGCCCAAACTACGGAGCCTCAGCGGCTGGGCAGGAATAGCCAGGAGCCGTCGCACAGAACTGTCCAAAACGACTGGTAAGCCAATCCAAAAGCAGCCGTTCTAGTCTCGACACAACGGACCACCCCTGTGTTTCGTTCCGTCACGACCGTGCACACCAAAATCCAAAAGTCCAAACCCATGGCATGCGAAGACGGCTTCAAGATGAGGAGTGCATCGACTTGGTGTTGAGGGCAGGTGACGTGCTCATGCCAGCCGAGCGGCGGCTCGTACAGACAGCGCCAACCCAACCATCCGGGCTAACACAGGAGATGAGTAGACTCAACGAGGTCATCGGTCGCAACGGTTGCGGAGTGAGCGGCCACAAGAGGTGGCCGCCGATCCCCGTCCCGATCGTTACCACCGAACTCCAAGGTCGAATGGCATGAGCGGCCAACCTACAGAATGACAATGTGGCGAGGGCAGACGACTCGCCCACATGTGTGGAGCCCATCATCGACCCGTACAGATCCGAGCCAATTCGAACCCCATAGGCGAGGATTGAGGGACTCGACTTAACGACGTATGTCGTTGGTCGTAACAGAACGGAATTATCAATGGTGGAGCCAGCCGCCACTGGTGTAATTGCCCTGATAGATTTCCTTCACCCGCCGGAATGTGTATTGGTGAGTATCCTTTTTTTTTTGGCGTGAGCGGGCTTCGTCGACTGCGTCAGCAGCACTCAGTCCCTACAAACTAGGCAAACTTGACAAACGAAACGACAAACTACATCAAAGCGGTGAAACAACGATGCGAAGCTCTACAAAGGCTGCGGCGCGCAGGCTTTGCCGGTGGTAGCCGTTCAGCGCAACTACGGAGCCTCAGCGACCGGTCAGGAACAACAATGAGCCGTCGCTCAGAGCTGCCCAAAGCAACAGGTGGAGCCGAGTCCAAGCTCCGGCAGCTGCTCTAGTCTCGTCAGACAACGGACTGCCCCTGTGCTTTGTTCCGTCACGATCGTGCACACCAAAATCCAGAAGTCCACAACCCACCGGCGTGGGTGGGCGGCTTCGTGAGGAAGAGTGCAACGTCCAGGGGTCGAGGACAGACTAATCCACGCCATCGAGTCCAACATCGGCGAGGCCAGCCAGAGCCGATGGAATCCCACAATCGACATGAAAGGGGAAAGACTCAATGACGTATGTCATCGGTCACAAGGCTGCTGCGACTGGCGAACCAACGTCACGTCGCCGCCGTGATGCGACACGGCTGACTTGCTTGACCGGCACCTTCTCATGCAGCATGCCCTATTCCAGAGAGTGGGCGCGCTGCTCGACACTCCCAAGAGCGTGCGAGCGCACACCGCCGCAGCAGAATCAAATCAATGTCACCCGCCGTGTGCTGAAACGCAGGGTCGGCCGCAAGGCCAGGTGAGAACGCCAAGGCGGACGTTGACGTGCGGGTCAGACGCTTCCACAGCACCGTCCAGCCGTTGTGGCGGCCATGCCAGTGGAGGAAAACACCAAAGAAGAGCTGACGCAAAGGAGAAGGTGCGAGCGACGTATGTCACAGCCAGATAATGGCGCAAAAGTACAGCAGGCAGCCGCAGGATGCTGCGCTGTGCTGTTGCAGCTCTCCGGGTGGAAGCCGATAGCCAATCCCCAATGACGGAGCCACCAAGCCCAAAGGCAGCCCCAGGCAAGCCCTCAGCCCAGCCGTCGCAGTCTGGGCGTCTTTTCAAAAAGCACGGTACTAGCCACGCGGTCCCTATCTCGTGTAGGGGGTGGCTTCCTCCGCTCTTGGACATCAGACCAGTGCTACACCACTCCCAAGGATCCGCCCCTCGAAAAGCACACAGTTGACCCCACGTAATGCCGCCAAGACCAAGGTGAACGTGACCAAGACGGGCCGATGTCAAATGAGGAGATCCAGCCAAGGCTCGGCCCCTCCCACAATCTCCAGTCCACGACCCATCAGCAGGTAGTGGCGGCAGGCGGAGTGCATGAGCTGGCGTCGAGGGCAGTCTCGCCCACGCCTGCAAGTTCACACCGACCAAAGGCAACCAAGCCAATCCAGCATGCAGGACGTACAAGGACGAAAAGACCCAATGACGTATGTCATCCGTCGCAACGGTTCAATAACGCTTGGACGCGCCAAGATCTCCGCCACCAGAAACGACCGGGAAAGGTTTAAGCTGTAGAGGCTGAATGCCGGCGACTGCCAGGCGATGCTGTCTGTGACTCCCAATCAGTGGCGTAGACACACTCCGGCTCTCAGCCCACGGTGTGTCGTGGTTTGCAGTGGGACAGCAGAGTTGCGTCCACTCGCCGACAGGTGGAAGAGATAGCACAAGGGCAACGTCAATGAGCGGAGACGGGTGAAGGAGGTCCACAGTAAGGGCGGCTGGGACGGGGCGCCCCGGCGCCCGTACACACTGTCACCCACCCTCTAAGTCAGGCAGGGGATAATTCGAGCGGAGTTCGGCGGCGAGACAGGCAACCTGGAAGTCGCAAAAATCCAACACAGGGCCCACCTCCACTGCGCCTCCCACTCCAAAAGGCATTCCGACAAGGCCTGGCACAACCCAGCCGCCCGGAGGGGCAAGCCTCTTGATGGCCTGAGTCACATGGCCAAAATGTGACCCTACTGGGAAGAACCGTGGCTTTGTAAGTGTTTATATAGATTGCAAGCATGTTGTTAAATAGCTTGCAACCAGGTTGTATCTATATTGCAAATCACTTATAAGTGTGATAAACAAATACAACTGTTAAGAGACTTAGCTAAGTGTTTACATAAGTGGTGTAAGTATGTTAAACATTTACAAAGGTTAGGGGGTTTAGCTAAAGTTTAGCTAAGTTAACATAACTTTTTGAAGTACAGTTCTTATATAGGGAAATGACTATGTTAGGCACGTAAATGACTTGTGTTTCAAGGGTGCATGTATACAGGGGGGGGGCAGGGCGGACAATTAAATGCATATCCTGTTGCCATGCAGCCGTTTTTTTCAAGAGAACTTGGAAAAGATGAAGCCTGCCTGGGCTACGGCCGTGGAGCAGGCATTGAAGAAAGATGCTCCGGCATTGGAGAGATGGACGGAGATCGAAACTATCCTGCAGGAGAGCAGGAAGTGCTACAGGCAGGTGCTGCGGCCGGGTCAAGTCCTGGTGCACCCGTCGAATCGCTCAGGGTTAGGATTGAATGGAGCCCAAGTTCACAAAACAGGGGCCCAAGTGCAATCTGTAGGCTTCAGCTCCATGGAGCTGAAGCGAAGTGTTTGCATGGAAATATCCACGGATAGAGCTCTGAGCCAAAAGGCCTTTAGTTTCAACAAGCGGCAAGTGGATATGAATGGAGGGCTGCTAGCTGAGGTGCGAGGCGATGAGCGATACATGTCGTTAGCATGCAGTCACTTTACGGCATTTTGCCGTGCCTGCATTGCAGCATGTCCCTCGGACCAAGAGACGGTGTCGGACAACGGCAAGCTCACGTTGCAGCGATTGTCTACGGACTCTCGGCAGGCCGTGGATAATGGATGATGGGAGTGGCTGGTGCTGTCAGCGGAAGTTGATGCAGTACTGCCCTCGCTGGCCTCCTTCGTTCAGGAAGTCATGAATGCAGCCCAAGGAGTTGCAAGAACGGCAGGCGAGCTGGAGCTCGCCATGGCGATGGTGACCCGAGCAAAGTTGCTGGCAGAGCAAGGTTTGTGCATCGACTGGGATGTTGTGCAAGCTGATGTAGCAGCCACGGTGCCGGATGCCTCGCCACAGACCGTGGCCGCTTGCGGGTTGTTCTGCAGATTCTATGCAGGAGGAACCGAAGCACCTCTGCTGAAGTTTTTGCACGACTTTTCCTTGAAATATGGGGCAAGCAAAAGATTGGGAGAGGAGTTCATGTCCACGGTCGCCGGCCTCCGGTTTGCAGGGCAGGAGCGATCGCATGCTTTCGCAAGGGCTGCGATGATCGCGACGAACCTGACAGCCACAAAAGTGGTAGACGGTGTGGCTCGGCTGCTGAGCAAGAGCGATGTCAGCAGGCTCTGTGCGAAAGGCATGGAAGATGCTGTAAAGGATTGGGAGGAGCTTCTTGCTCGTGCCTGGGCTCACACTCAGAATGTGACGGATGCAAGTGCACGTGCCAAGGCAGTTGAGTGCTTCGGTCGCCTGATGGTTCGCAGCACCCTCTTCATGTGCAAGAAAGAGAAGTCGGGGCAAGAAGGCCTTGAGCACGGGTCATTGGCCAATTTGCTGACTTTGTACGAACACGAGATGGGTGGCAAGAGTGCCGGTGCAACACCGGCTGCTGCTACAAAAGATGGGCCGTCTGATGCGGCCCCTGCGACCTTGGAGAACATGCAGGACCCGGCCTTCCTGATGAAGCTGCAAGGCTTCGCAGAGGGGAACCTGTACAAAGGCAAGCAGAAGTATCAGGACATCTGGCCTTGGAAGCTGGAGAAAATCGGCCAGAGCCACGGCTCTTTCTCGCTGTCTTGCCCAGTGAGGTGGGACAAGAAGGTCGAGGTGCCTCTGAGCGAGCTCAAGAAATTTTTCGATCTGTATAGCGGAGATGCACCCGAAGTGGTGTCTGACTCTGTGGACCGACTGCCCCATAATACGGAGGCTTGCAGCCAAGAGAGACTCCGAGGAGAGTTCTTCGAGCTCTGCTGCGAGTATTTCCTGAAGTACTCGCACTGTGAAGAGGAGTTGACCTTTTTGAAGAATCCCACGTGCTGTCTGTTGGAGGGCAAAGCCAAGACAGGCAAGCTGACGATCTTCCCCTTCACGGATCAGATTTCAAAGGTTGGCTTAAAGCCGGCAGCTGGCAGTGTGGAGGTTTGGCATTCGGCCTCGGGCACAAGCTTGTATATTTCACCCCCGGCTGCAGCCGGAAGTTTGCTATCTAGATCCCGGTCGGCTCAGAGCCGAATCTGGCGCCAGTCCTTCTCAACGAGAAGGGCTGGAAGATTCCCATTTTGAAGAACACTGCTTCGCTGAAGGAGTGCATCCTGTACAGGCCGAAGCCTGCCGAAAGTTTGAGGGCCTCGGCCCAAGAGCTGGATCAAGGATCCGCTGCCTCGCGAAAGCGAAAGGCTTCTTGAGTTACTCGACAGTTCTCGCTTGCTGAGTTTTCCGGGAAAAGGAACCAAGGTTGATGTCTGCAATGGAACTTTTTGGCGCTTTTGCAAGTGTGAATTCAAGGATGGTTTGCAGGCACGTGTTGTTGATCTTTCCATAAAGTTCGGCTCAAGGCTAATATACGCACAATGCCGCTGGTAATCGAAAGAGTATATGTCCTGAAGCTGGATGGTGCCAGCTGGACTGTGGGTGACAAGGAGCTTGAACCAACGGACCATGGTCCGTTTGTGGTACTTCGTCCATGGAGCCCGGGCTTGTGCAAGCTGCTTTCTAAGCAGCATAGCATAAACTGCCAAAATACCCGGCAAAGTCATCGTTGTCCCAGAGCGATGTTTATCTATCGCTCGTGGGCTCCCGAAACGATGCCTCCAAGGAGCAGCAGTCCAAGCGGCAGGCAGAGAAACTGAAAGAACAGAGCTCTGGCCTTTTCGGCGGGGAAGACAGCGAGGCTGCTCTAGTGTCTGTAACAGGCAGCTCTCCGAGAAAAGCAGCGAAGACTCGCTTGTCCCGCCGTGCTTCCAGGGAAGCAAGAGCAGAAAAGAATGTGCTCAAGGTTACCTGGATGGGAAAGGAGATCCGTGTCCTGGAGGCGGGCCATGTCACGGATGTGCCCAAAGTCCACTTGGATGATATGGCACTGTTCTTTGAAGCAACACAAAATGCCGTGCTTACTGCTGAGTCTTTTCAGACTAGAGCACGGCAAAGCTTTCCTAAGGGAACTGCTGCGAAGGACAAAGTCGTGAAAATCGGCCAAGGCCGCCAGGCTCAACGGACAGGCGACGACAGAAGGTATTCGCTTGTCAAAAAAGCCGGGGCCAAGGCCCGGCCCTTGGATCCCCTGCCGCTGCAGGAGGCTGAGGCGACTGCGGCTGCCAAAAGGGCAGCAAAAAGCCAGGGGCAGTCCTCCAAACGGAGGAAGCCTGGGGTGCTAGTGAACTGAAGGTTCGTTTGCTTCAGGAAAACCATGCAAAGCCTTGTTGTCTCATGTGCATGCAGTTGTTTGACTTGTAGCCTCGCATGTGCAGGTTGTGAAGTTTGTGCCGGTGTTTGCAGCTGTTTGGGCTCCTGTAGGGAGCCCTTGGATGGGGGCTGGCCTTTTTTACGAGGCCAGGCAAGGGATCCTTTTAAGTTTCTTTCAAACGAAACATATATACAGATATAGATATATAACTATAGACTATAGGCAGCCCGGGAGACTGCGGTTTCCTGGACAAAGCCGGGAGACTACGGTCTCCTTATAATTGTGGTGGACCACGGTTTGCCATCTGTCTGTGAGAGGAGACCACGGTCTCCTGCAGAGCTGGCTAGCAGACTACGGTTTGCTTAGTCAGTGATGCATGCAGGGGTTGCTTTTCGGCAACCGTGCTGGCCGGCAGAATGCAGGCAGACCAAGGTTTGTTTGCATCTGCTGGCAAGCATGCAAAGCAAGCAGACCACGGTTTGCTTTGCTTTGGGAGAGGAGACCACGGTTTCCTCGTGGGTGCATGCCACGGCATGCACCAAATACTATATGTATATATATATATATATATATATATATATATATATACATGTGCTAAAAAGAGTCCGGCTTAAGGGATCTTCCCTAAACCCTATACCCTCCCCGATCCTCTATAAACCCTTTTTTTGTCCTGGCCAGGCGAAGTCGTCGGCCATGCCCAAGCACCGGGACCAGGATAGAAGGAGGAGGAGCTGAGATCCTCGACTACGGTCGAGATCTCACGAAGAGTCCGAGGACCAAAAGAAAAAGGAGGAGGATGGCAACAAAAAGCCAGAGGAGAACGAGAAGAAGAAAGAGGAGGAGGAGAACCTTGAGGAGGAAACTGTGGCCTCCGAGGAGGAGGCAACTGAGTCCGAGGACAAAGAAAAGGATCCGGAGGAGGAGCCGGAGGAGGCTACGGCCTCGAAGCCAAAGGAGGCGGCCTCGGAGGCTGCGGCCTCGAAGCCCAGTCCCTTCTCTGGATGAGAAGACCGCTCCTGATTGGCCGATAAGTGCCGCCGGCAGGCAAGGCTGGAGAAAAAGCTTGCAACAGCCAGGGTCGCGGCATCCCAGGCAGCTCTCCAGTCCTGGGCAGAAGAAGAGCAGGCCAGAAAGGAAAAGAAGGAGAAAAAAAAGGGAAAGAAGGATAAAAAGGAGAAGGAGAAGAAAGAAAAGAAAAGCGAACGAGAGAGAGCAGAGAAAAAGGACAAGGAGGTGGATGAAAAATTGAAGGGGGCAAATGAGAAGGCAGCAGATGAGAAGAAGGACAACAAGCCTTCGGACGGGCCCAAGGGCCCGTCCAAAAAGTGCCCCATTTGCCGGAGGTGGATACAGGAGCATGCGGCCGCCCGTCGCCAGCACCGATTGTCGGTGTTTCACCGAACTTGGAAATACATAGCCCAAGGGCTCAGCAAGGAGGCTGCTGCAGGCCGGGCAAAGCGCCGGTTCCAGGAGCACTGGCAGCCCGGGAGGGAAGAGGAGAGCGAAGAGGAATCCGAAGTCCCAAAGTGGGAGCTGCGGCGGGATTCCGGCAACAAGGGCCATGGATATGGCGACAAGGGCCAGGGATATGGCGACAAGGGCCAGGGATATGGCTATGGTGATGTGAGAGGCGGCTCCGGCCCCTCGGGGGCCAAGGCCCATGCCGAAGCTGAGAAGGGCCGTCCTGAGCAGGCTAAGGGCACGAAGAAGAGAAAGAAGCCGGGGGCAGGAGAGACAATCTCCCTGATTGACCCCGAGGATGACAAAGAGGATCGAAAGCCGGTGAAGCTTTTGCCCAGGAGTTTGCCAGCTAAGGCTGGCAAGACAAGAAGAAGGGCAGCAAGGCTAAGGGCAGCAAGGCTAAGGCCAAGCGAAAGCGACAGGAGTCGCCGGTAAGGGACAGTGATCACGTCCCAATGCCGGACAAGAAGGACCCGGAAGATCCCGAAGGAGGCGGCCCGGAGAGCTACGGCAAAGTGGTGACGAGCCTCTTTCAGATAGCTTGTCACGAGCTGAGGCAGCGGTACTAGCTCGGCACAGCCGCCTGCCGTCTTCCGAAAAAAACAGAGTGACGGCTGGCCGTCTTCCGAAAAAAACAGAGTGCTGGCTGCCGTGTGGTGAAAAAAAGAGTGTCTCCGCGCTTTTTTCTCTTCTAGGGTTTAGGGTTTAGGGGTTTTTTTTAAATAATAATTTTCTTTATAGATCCGGTCATCCATGACAATCACATATTTGAATCAAGTATAAGAGTCTTGATCAAATATTGCAGATTCCATCATATAAAGAATTGTTGACCAAATATATTGGTCTGACCCAAATATATACAAAAGGATATGAAATTGATGCAAAGACGCTCACTCTTCTTTTCACGGCACAGCCGAGAGTCGTGGGAAGTTTTCAAGGAAAACGAAGGTGCACAGGGCGTGCACCGGGCACTAAGAGTGCCCCTCCACCTAAGCAGAGGCACACGAGTGCCCCCCAGAGTCCAGTCGCACGATGGAGTGCAACGTGACCATATTCTTCCCCCAGGGCGGGTTGGGTGGGATCAAAAATTCTGGCTCGATCTCGAGACAGCCTCGATGATTGCAGATTCAATCATGAACAAGTGTCCGTTTAACCGCATGGTTTAAAAATCGTTACTCGACATGAGAAACGAAATCATGCAACAGCATTGAAAGTTGTTAAAAGTCTGGATTGTGAAGCACTACTAAGAGTAGCGCAAAGATTGTCATGGCCCAAAATTTTGTTGCTTACAAAATTTCGTTTGACCTAGGATCTATAAAACATCGACACGCACGCGTGAAGTGATGCTTATAGATCCGGTCATCCATGACAATCACATATTTGAATCAAGTATAAGAGTCTTGATCAAATATTGCAGATTCCATCATATAAAGAATTGTTGACCAAATATATTGGTCTGACCCAAATATATACAAAAGGATATGAAATTGATGCAAAGACGCTCACTCTTCTTTTCACGGCACAGCCGAGAGTCGTGGGAAGTTTTCAAGGAAAACGAAGGTGCACAGGGCGTGCACCGGGCACTAAGAGTGCCCCTCCACCTAAGCAGAGGCACACGAGTGCCCCCCAGAGTCCAGTCGCACGATGGAGTGCAACGTGACCATATTCTTCCCCCCTCTCGACTATGCGTTACGTTGCTTCAAGAGTGGCGCCTGTGACAAAGCAAGTCGGCACGTCACGAGTGACGGGACCAAGGAATGCCAGCTCCTCCCATCTGCCTCGGGATGGCGGATCCGCGATGTTGCTCTGGCTCGGTACACGATGAAACCACGGCAGGCACGGGCGTGCTTCATCGGCGGCCTCCAAGTGAAGAAGGAGACTCCTCCAAGATGCATCGATCGAGTTCGAGTTGATGCAAGCACTCAAGACGCCGGAATGGTCGACGAAAAATATGCATCGTTCGCCATCAATGTAACTCGACCACAGGATCCTGGCAAGCACGACCGCGTAAAGCTCGACCTGCCCTATAATGTGTTTCCTACCCTCGGCCCATTGCTTGACGAGCTTGCTAGGAACCCTACAACCGAAAGCCCTAGCAACACCCTCGCCGAGGACAAAGAGAACCCCACCGACACCAGTACTGAAGCCGCCCTCGCAAGGGTCGCATGCGCCATCTGTGAAGATGAGGACTGGGTTCGAGGCAGGGCTCGTCACAATGGCACGCGGCCTGCTCGCAAGAAGTCTTGCCCTCAGAACAGCCAAGGCATTCGATTGAGTATCCGTCAGGTTCAAGACACCCCCTCTGTCACCGAAGAGCCTGAGGTCGGCCAGGGCCAATCGCCCTGTGCGACCAAGCAGCTGAGCATCTGCGAAGCGAAGCTTTCCAAGAAGGGATGGCAGCTCCCGCGTGTCTACCTGGCCCTTTTCAAGGATGCGGCCCAAGGACTGTTCAAGCATGGCAGCTCGTTCGGGCTTGTTCGATACGAAGATGCGGCCCATGTCAGGATCGGAGGTATCCAGCACGACACCCAGCGTTTCTGCAGTGCACGAGAACGGCTTTTCTTTCTCGGACAAGGAGAAGCCAAACAGGTCCATGAGGGCATGAACTGCATTGTCAGTCCCGCCAGACAAGAACGAAGGGGTCATCGTCGGGAAATCGTCATAGTAGCAAGTTACGGCCACCCTCAAATCCCAAAGAACCCTCTGCAGGAATAATGCAACCCTGTTAAACTGCATGACCGAGGCTGAAGCTCCGAAAGGAAGAGTGTTGCACACAAAGGCCTTGACGGCGCGGGAGCCCGGCTCCCTGAGCAGGATAACGGATTTCGGCCTCTCGCCAGGGTGCAGTGCGAGCTGCTTGTAGGCAGCTTGAAGATCGTAAGTTTTGCAGTGAGGACGGACACGGTCAGGGTCCTTCCAAGCCGTATGGAGGGGTCCCTTGAGTCTCTCACCGGTGCTGAGCTCAAGATCGAGGGATCCTGAAGATTTTGCCGCACGGCAAACTTGCATGCACAGCCAGCAAATCTCATCGAGGGCCTTGAGAGTAACACGTTCAAAGCATCCGAAACAAGAGTTCACAGCGGCTTCCGAGAAGTCATCGATCGCACGCCACTTGCCCTGCCAGACTGCAAAACGCCGGCAGGCGTTCCAGCCTTCAGGGAACTTGTCCCCCAAAGAGTCAACGTCGATCGGGCCGTCAAGCCAGCACTTCCCCGATCTGTTAGACTCCTCAAGCGTCATGTTCCAGAGCTCTTCGGCATAGTCATGGTCCTTCTGGGCTCTGACTTTTTCAAGCAGGGTTTCCCTCCGGAGGGGAGCACTTGCCCAGAAATCGTCAAGGTCCATCGTGGCAGGTTTGACATCACTAGCGAATACACCCGTACGCCCCAAGTACCCCGTTAGCTTAAAGCCGGCAGCCAGGTCATCGAAGAGGGCCGTGTCAGGCCACGACAAGTCGGCGGCGATCCTCTTCATGAGTGCGATGCGCTTACAACTAAGGACCTTCCGCACACAAGGGTCCATCGCCGATCTGATTTTCTCTTCTTCGGGATCAAGCTGCTTGGCGAGGGCTCGCCACTGTTGTAGCTTCAAAAGACGGTGCTTCATGGTGTCAACCGGGCTCTTCGTAAGAGTGTCAAACAAGACTCGCAAAAGTTCATCTGGAAGTGATTTGGCAGAATCGAAGGGGTGCACAACCAACTTTGCCTCGTTCAAGAAAGCTTGCATGGATCGATAGACGCCAAAAGTGTAGAACTTGTTCCCCTCTGGGAGTCGCGAACCTCCCCTTTCAACTGACTCCCGGAGGAGCTTGGCGCCTGCAGGGACGCCGTGCCAAGAAGCCGAAAGGCAGTGCTTGGAGTTGAGAGTGGGAGCCGCAGCACTGGCGACTGACATAGTGTAAGCAAATTCAGAAATGATTGGCGGAAACTTGCGGCCACGAGGTTGCACCTGACCTGCGGCACGCGCAGCAGAAACCTTGGAGGCCACTAGGCGTTCAGGCGCAATCCCTCGTGATGCAGCTGACTTATCCACGCATGAGACAATCCTTTCGCAAAGAAGTTTGGGATAGCCCGTCTCCTCAGCTGTCGCAAAAGTATTGCCCAGCTTACCCCACGGCAAGTGCGAGGAGCATCCCGGGCATGGTCCCGAAAGGCAGTGCAGAAGCTCCGAATTTGTGAGGAGGGCGGTGGCCTTCTTGCGTTGTGACCCGTGGCGGCACGAGTCGAATGTGACGAAGGAGTGCTTGGCGAGCAGCTCGGCCCACCTCGGGAGCTGCCACAGGTAACTGTGAAGAGGGTTTTCAACGGAGAAGGGAACATGCGGCATGGCATGCAGCAGCCAGTCACAGAAGGCGGCCATGCTATCATAAATGGTGTTTGCACTGTCCACTCTCGCCTGCTCCACTGGTGGGAGGCCGGGCAGGCCGCGCACATGACGGACCGAACGCAATGGCTTAGGGCCGGGACCGCACTCCCGAGCCCGGCTAGCGGTGCCGCATGGAGGAGCCATGTGCACCCAAGCAACATCGTACTCGGAGCAAATGCGTCGCAAGAAAGACCAAGTGCTGGCCAGGCGCAAGTCGAGCTGTAAGGTGTGCACACACGCCCGCTGTTTGTTGTGATGCCAGTCGATGGGCACGGCTGTGTATCCGGCCTCTTTGGCAACATAAGACAGCATAGCAGACCCACTACAGATTTCCAGAAACAGCGGTTTCTCATGTCTGGGAGTCGGCTCGGCTTGAGCTTGCGATTTCAAGCGTTTACAAGGAGGGTCGGCGGGTGAGGCGGGACTAGAACCCAAAGGAGCGGGGGCAGTAGGGCTAGACCCAGAAGGTGCACACTCCAATGGCAAAACAGGCTGAAGAGGCGGAGGGAGCTGTTGCGCCGCGGCAGCAGGAGCACACGGAAAACCCAATGGGAGCAACGTGGCGGGTTGCCCACCTGAAAGAGTGTAGAGTGTTACGACCCACCTCTCACCTGTGAAGGGCATCGTCTTATGCCACAAGTTGCACGGGAAACTAGTGGGGCAACAAAACGTGTCTACGATTTTGCCCCTGATGTGATTATCGCCTGCGACAGTGGCTTGAGAAGTGCCCGACGCATCTTCGAGCCAAAGCTGGCCGCCAGTGAAGGTGCCAACCGTGAAAGTGTGGTTCAGCGAACCCGTTTGGTTCCCTGAGTCCCTGTGGAAATCTGACAAAGTATTCCTGCCCACGCAGATTGCATTCCAGGAAGCTTGAGGCAGAAGCTCCTTGAAAACTGAGTTCAGGCGCAATACGAAGTCCTGCATGGCAAGGGTGGCATGTGTCAAATGTTGCGGACTGCTGGCCCTGGGCCCAAAGTTGTAATACCCCGACTGCGCGGAGTTCACGGACGAAACAGACTTACGTTGCAACACAGACTTGGGCCACGCAGCATTCTGAAGCAATTGCAAAAGTGAAGAAAATTTTCTTGTATCCACACTAGCACTCTGCTGACACGGATCAAGATGCACTAAAGGAGAATCTGTCGGCGCAGGGAAGGCCTGCGGCGATGCAAAACTGTGCCCAGCCAAGCCTGGGCAATCCCGA